TCAAAGCCCAATTGAAAAAGCAAAAACAAGATAGTGGCCTCTTAGGGTTGAAAAAAAAATGAACTTGAACTATATTTGAGTGAGAACATTCTTGAGGAGGACAATGAATTTGATATACTGAGATGGTGGAAGCTTAATGGTGAGAGGCTTCATATCCTATCTAAGATGGCAAGAGACATTCTTGTTGTTCCTATTTCCATAGTAGCATCTGAGTCCACTTTTAGTACAAGTGGAAGAGTGTTGGACTATTTTAGGAGTTCTTTGAGTGCCAAAATTGTAGAAACACTCATATGTGCTCAAGATTGGTTGAGGATGTCAAACCAGCCTGTGTCAGTTGAAGAAAATATTGAGGAGGTAGAAAGGCTGGAAACAGGTACTAACTTTTACTTATTTAATATTCAGTGTTTATATTTATACATATTGTTAAATTCTTATTGTTTTCAATGCAGAATTAACTGATGGAAATGTTGGTGGAGGCCCTTCTCTTGATCAGATAGTAGTATACTTTTTACCTTTATCTTTTAGATATGTAATATGTTATTTCACTAATGATTTGCTATGCTTCTGTCAATGATCTGGTTGTAAAAGCCTAACCATGTTGCTGTCATGGTATTGGAAGTGTTGCTGATTCATTGGTACAATTTCTCCTAATTACTGTGTTTGTACTTTGCACAACAAGACATGGTAATCTTCTTTCACTCTTGAGTTAATTCATTAAGTGTAGCATGTATCTGGCAATGATGATAGCTTCCACCAAAAATGAAATTGATGGGTTGGTGTTGATTCTATTTCCATATAGTTTCGTATGCCCCCATTAATAGTGAGGTCAATTTAAATCTGAGCCAAATATAACAACATACATGCTGCCTTAATGGAAGTACTGGAATTTGGTAATGTGAACATTGAGTTAATTGATTAAGTGTAGCATGTATCTGGCAATGATGATAGCTTCCACCAAAAATGAAATTGATGGGTTGGTGTTGATTCTATTTCCATATAGTTTCGTATGCCCCCATTAATAGTGAAGTCAACTTAAATCTGAGCCAAATATAACAACATACATGTTGCCACTTAGACAGTAAACTGGAATTTGCTTATGCATATGTATTTATGACTTCTGACTTATTAGATTAATTGTTGCATTATTTAATCAGTAATGATAGTTTCCACCAAAAAAATTAAATTAAGAATATCAACTGAGTCAAATTAAGGATATGTTGTTTCCTGCCTTGGTTTTACTACTGCAATTTTCCTATGTACTTATGAATTATGAGTTCTTACATGAATTGTTTACTCAATTAGTTATTTTGGCAATGAGGATGGCTTCTAGCCTTCTACAGTTCTACCAGAAAATAAAATAAATGGGTTTGGTGTTGATTCTAATTATATAGTGAGTAATGCCCCCATTATTAGTGAACTGAAATTAAATCTGAGCCAAATCTTATTGTATTTCTATATACTTTTGAATTGTTTATAGTTCCCACTTCCCAAGTTCCCAGAAAATAATAATGATAATAATGACACTAAACACTTCCCAGATTAGTGTTTTATGATACGAATGTGTTTGTGACTTACATAGGAACAAAATCAATGACTGTTCGGTTGATGATCTGCGAAATTGATGAAACCTGAAATTCTGGAAACACTCTAGTAGACTAGTAGTCAAGTAGATGTCGAGAGTCAAGATCTGAAGACTTGTACATCAATTGAATGTTGTTAAACTTTTTGTTGGTACTTGCTGTTTTGGAACATTTGATTGCTCAAACTCTAAATGTTAAACTGATTTGTGCATAAGCAATATAACTGTGTAAGTGTATAAGTAAGTACCAAGTAGTATTGGAGTAATGTGTATGACTGTATGAGTGTATAAGTGTTAAGTGTATAAGTTATAAATTTATAACTATTAGCCATGTGTTTGGAGTTGTACAAACTCTACTAATTTTGCAATTGCTTTTGATAACATATTGTTATGTATTTTATTTGTGTTTGTAAAGTTTAATTGTACATTTTTTTCAAGGTGATTTTATGAATTATTTGTGTTATGTTTTTAATGGATTTTAATCAGCCCGAATGGCCCCGAGAACCGATTAAAACCGACCCAAATCCGAAATTGTGCAACCCGATTAGCCCGAAATATTTTTTGGACGGGGTAGGGTTTTATATTCTCAGCCCGATAACCGAAAGGATATGCAAAAACTCAACCCGTCCTACCCGAACCCGTCTAACGCTCTCCCCTAGTTTTATGTAACACTCCCAACAAGAATATGTGAGTGTGTAGAAATAACTCCCACGGGTTTTTCAGATTTGAGTACAATTTTCGGGGTAATTCGTCAAACCAACATGTTACACAATATTATGGGCTTAGATATTTATTGTTGTAATTAGTTGGGCCAAGGGCTTCCAATTATGGGCTTACACATTAAATTATTTTGGCGGAATGATAGGAAAGAGAAATTTAACCTATTTGCTCTTACTAAATTCAGCATAGTACGTATCAGAGCTGTAGAACGGCCGACGCAGCTCAAGTGGAAATCAAAGCAGCACCAGCATGACTTTCTTTTTTGACATGGGCGATCTGACCTCGCTGTATTATCTCGGATCCGGTGATCAGCCCGGGAATATCATTACTCATGTGGTGTTTCAGAGCAATAATTATGTGGCTCGGTCACGGGCTATTAACCTGTCTAGGCTTGTTAATGGGTCGGTCCGGGTCGGAACGTAGTGTTCCAGACCCGGACCCGCTAAATTAATAATGGACCTGGACCCGACCCGTTTACCAGGCAGGTTTGAAAATTTGGACCCGGACCCAGATCCAACGGGTCTCGGAATCGGGTCGTGTAGACTCGCCCGCCAAGTATGATACGCACACCATAATAAACTTTGTGAAAAAAAAGACATGTATGTGAAATATAAAACAAAGTGTACAAATTTAAAAGCAAAATATATCTTTACTTTTCAAAAAAAATCAAGGTCTCTCATAGAAAATTAGTACTTTTATCTAATAAAGTATCGGTTCATGTACAGGCATATAGTTTCACACTTTGCGTCGCTTTCTCTCGCACAAAAAGCTCGTAGAATAAACTAGAAATTAAATCATAAAAAGGTCTCTTGGACTACTAAGAGTATAAAATCATATGTAGTATTATATATGATAATGATATAATAATATTAATAATAATAGTAATAAATATTGTGTTTTTCCTACCAAGCCCAATACACACTTTATCGGTATGTATTTACGGCCAAAATGGGCATTAATTTTAGGGTATCTTACTATCTTGATCAGTATCACTTATATATATTTATGTATTAATGTGTATATTTTTATTCAATAATCACAAATTCACAACTAATAACTTTATGTACTATTATGTATATATGTATATTAGTTTCTATTTTATTTAAAGTGTTATAACTAATCACTTAATGTATTAGTGTAAGTGTATACAAATAAGAAATTTTAAACGGGTCCGGATCCTTAACGAATCAGAATCATATGTACCATACCCGACCCATTTATTTAAAATACTAACGGGTCCGGATCAGAGTCCGGGTAAACGGAATAAAATATAGACTCATGCCCATTAAAAACAACCGGGTCGGGTCTAGACCCGTCCCATTGACAGACCTAGTCCTGTCTTTGAAAGCTCGCTGGAAAAATGGCTTTGTGTACGATACGATCAAGAAACTGACTAAGGCGTCAAAATTGCTTGATTGGGATATTGTGAACTCCATGATAGTCTCAGGGCTTTTACGGAGCATGGAATCACCGGTGGCATCATCGATTCCCTTTCACCACAAGGCACGTTTGTTATGGGTATACTTGGATAATTGTTTTAGTGTTGCCAGCAGGCCTCGCCTAGAGCAGCTTCAAGCTTCGACCATGAATTGCAAACAAACCAAAACGCTGTCAAAGGATGCTTATTACACGACTCTCATGGGTCTTTATGATGAATTAAATCGTCTCAAACCACTGCATGCTTGTACGTGCGGTTTATCCACTTACGACGTTGTTGGAAAATTCACCGCCGATCGTGAAGAAGAACAACTTCATCAGTTTTTTTATTGGGATAGATGATGAAATATATGGGACGGTATGATACTATCTATTGTTGCATACACCCATGTCTAACCTCAATCGTGCACATCAAGATTTTCTCCAAGTGGAGAATCCTCATTCTGTTGCTTGTGGAAAGCAGTCGACTGTAGATGTCAAGGCTTTTGTTGTTCAAGCTGGCCGTGCAAGCAGGGGACACCAGGACCATATTGATTGTTCCAAACTGGTGTGCTCCCATTGCAAACAAAAGGGGCATGAATTTGGTGCTTCCTATAAATTGCATGGCTATCCGAATTGGTGGGGAAGAAAGGAATCGTAGTAAAGGTACAACACCTGGCCGTGGAGGGAGGGGGGGGGGGGGGGGGGGGTACGAACTCACGTTGTGTCATCATCTCTATTGTCTCGAGGCGTGGGTGCATTGTCTTCCAACAGTGAGGCAAATGGGTTGAATGAATTAAGCAAGGAACACGTTCAGGCATTTCAAAGTTTGATTAATGTTGAGACTAGCTCCTGTGATAGAATGTCGGGTAAATTCACTTCTTTGATGTGGATTATTGATAATTTGATATCGGGGAATCTCACCACGTCATGGGTGACTTGTCTTGTCTTACACATCAAACTCGTATTCATGTGTGTCCGGTTGGGTTACAGGGTGGACAAACTATCACTACTAGAATTTTCCTTATTTGTTGCTACCCAATTGACGCGGTTCTTAGCTAAAGCGCATCAAATAGGCAAAATCAATAGGTATTTGTTGCGGTTCCTCCACGGCCACAGCAAAAAGTTAAAAATTTTGATACTTTTTGTTGCGGTTGTAGAGGAACTGCAGCAAATAGTCTATATTATTTCGAATTTTCAATTTTTTTGACTTTCTTGCTGCGGGTAGGAGAGAACCGCAACAAATATATTCAAATTTTATACGATTCGCTGCGGTCAAAATCGAACCGCAGCAAATAAGTCATTTCATCGCAGTCCCCTTATCCTCTCCTTCAATCGATTAGAGCAAACCCTCCCCAAAATAAATCCCAGTCCCCCTCCCACACATTGGGGCCGAACATCGTAGACAGCCACCTCGTCGCGGAAGTCCAGCTCGTCGCCGAACTTCAGCTCCTCGTCGTTACAGACGCCGACGGCCAGCTCCTTGTCGTTGCAGATTCTCTCAGACGGCCAGCAGCTCCTCGCCTATTTCCTCGCCGACAGCCAGCAGAACCTCGCCCCTTCATTGGCTCCAACTTCATCTTCTCTACACTTCATTGTTGCTTTTTTTCAAGGTTAGTTGTTATCAACTTAATTTTTAATGTTTTTTTCTGTATATTGTGTATTGAATGAAAAAACTGAGTTTATTTTTCTTTTTGATATTTATTGTTTGAAATAAATTGAATAAACCTCATCATGTCTTCGGGTAAGAACCTTCATTATGAGTGAAGGTTAACATACTAAGCGTTCAGTAACTTTGGGATACTTTGGGCTGACAGTTAACATATGAGTGAAGGTTAACATACTAAGCGTTAAGAACCTTCAGGTAGTAACTTAAAATTGAGCTGACAGTGGCCCTTCATTATGTCTTCAATTCCCCACAAGATAAGATACTTTGGGATGTTGGTCATCAGGTAATAGTTTCACCACATCGTAGCTGAATTTTGTTCAATTTGTCCTCTAAGATACTATGAGTGTTGATTTTGATATTTTGGGTTTAACAGTCCTACCCTCATAAAATTTTGACTGGTAGAAGGGAAAAGATGCCAACATTGAGACAGACTAACGGTCTCTCACCCTTCACTAACGGTTCAGAAAGCGAGCATGATTGCTTTGGAATTGGCCACAGTTTAACCACCATATATGGAGGCTTAGGTAGTACTCTTTCTTTGTCCTCCAATTATAGTAAACATTGCCTTGTGTTAGAGCCCCACACCGGATAAATAACGCCCAAAAACTTATTATGCGTTAACATCTTGACATTAGTTAGAGTAGTATTTTATTCCTCTATATTAATGTTGAGGAGTGTTGCTAAGATGACAATTAGTTAACATCTTGATATTAATTATAGTAGGATTCATCTCCTTTAATAAAATTCTTCCTTAAATATAAATTAATCCCTATTCATATTTCATATTAATATTTTGAACATTACATAAAGGATCAACTAGTTTTGTTTCATATATTAATTATTACTAGAAACGATCGGCGAACCGATGGTTAATCGTTGATGATTTCACAAGTAAGTAACTTCGGTTTATTAATGCACGGTCGTGGTTGATAAATTTAAGAGGGATTAATTTTGTTGGTTAAACCGAAACCGTTGTGTTGAGGTTATCAATCTCAATTGATTTCATCAACGAGTTAAGAGATTAAATGCTACTATCAAGTCGGTATATGACGGTGTTCTATACTTGACTAATAGTAAGGGTTATTAATGAACGGTCATTGTTAATAACTACCCTCGATGAATTGGATATACTCCTCGATTGAGTATTCGAGAGGAAATAAGTTATAGATATAACAATGATCGACAAAATATATCAACAAGTGGAAAGTAGCAATGCCAAGTTCTTTTATCTTTGAATTAAAACACATATAGGTTCTTCATCTTAGTTTTTAAATTAAATCATTCAATCTCAAAAACCCCCTTTTATTTACTAGTTTCATAAAAAGAGAATTATTCTTTTCCCTGTGGATACGAACTCTACTTCACCTATACTACGTATAAGTGCTAGTATCGAATATTACTTTGACGCACCGTGACAAAGTGCCCGTCAAATTTCGCGCCATTGCCGGGGAAAGGCAATTATTTTTCTTTTTATTTTATTTCAAAAAAAATTAAAAAAAATAAACATACAAAAAAATTACTTTTCAATTTTCTGAGCTTACATGAGTAATGAATACCAACACATCATCGCTAGAAAGTCAAATTTCTAGCTTGACTTTTTTAGTAAAAGAGTTTCTCTTATGCTCAAAAGTTCAAGATACAAAGGCCTGCAACATTTGCATGTCACAAAGGCATCTTACGGATTTTTGCCCAAAGCTTCAAGAAGAATACTTTGAACAGAGTAATGATGTTGGTTTCCAAGAGAGGTATGATTCATTCTCCAACACATATAACTCATACTCAAGTTCTTATTCCAGCATGTCCACTGAAGACATGATCCGAGCTCTCACTATCAATGTGACAAAAATGCAACAAGATATGTCACAATACCCGCAAGAAACGGTGCTCAAAGAACTGAACTTGGAGAATCAATTGAAACAAGTGCCAAACATTGTGAAGCACATTGGCGAGGAGGAAGAAGAAGGGGAGCTTACGGAGGAAGCTCAACCAGAGGAGGAGAAACCTCAAAACTCAACTCCACCACCGGCCATTCCTGAGATCATACCACCATTCCCTGAGCCTCTAAAGGAAATACAAAGGGTGGAGAAGGACAAAGACCTCTACGAAATCTTCTGCAATTGTGAGTATCATTTAGATTTCTCTTCGCTCACAAATATGCAGGGGATAACAGTGGAGTTGCACAAACATTTCATACTCCCTCTTATACCACCTGGATCAAAACCCCTTCCATTTATCATGCTGAGTGAAAATCATGGACCCTCACTCTCACAGTATGAAGCGATAGAAATCCGGATATTTGATCCCGGAAAGATTGTCAAAATAAAGGGTCGACAAATTGAACCTTTCTATAAGATGCGCCCAGATGAAAATGTGAAAAAAGTGTTGGAATATTGAGAGTATTTCAAATGAAAAATACTTTATTGATCAATTTTATAAATTAGATATTTTAATATTCTAAATGAATGTTTATTGAGTTCTTCAAATATTAACGTTAGGCACTATAAAGATCCATTTACTTTGGGGAGTTATCATACCTATGTGTATCCTTATAAATTATTAAAATTCATTGTTTAACAATTAATATTCAACAATGAGTGCATGAGTGTCAAGGCTGTCCCATAACGTATGTGTATACTCCTATGGTGATGGCTATTAACTAGTAACGTTAATATTATACTTAATTGCAAAACATTTAATCTATTTTATTTACTAGTATGAACGTTGTTTTTTAGTTTTTTACACCTGAACCGTAACGTTATAATCTGTTAGTATAAATCTACGAGCATACTTCTACTTGGAGGGTGTGATCATTATCTTCCTCACAATTGTGCAAACTTCAAATCATTCTTCCGTTGGATTAATATAATTTTCACTCTAGTTGTTCTGTTACCGGCTTACGCTGAAGTGCTCGTTTTATCTTGGGGAAATGTTTTCGCTAGTCGGAAATACTTTCTTGAGGATAGCGTTTACGCGACTCGAGCTATATTATTTTCTAACGTTTTTTGCAGGTTTATCCGGCCGTATTTCCACCAACAATCTCAAGAAAGTATTTGGCGTCGGATATGCCTGCACACATGATCTCACAAGGTGTTGTCGTCGCACTCATCGCGGCTATGTTATTTTTGCATGTGTGGTGCGATTTAGACTGGCATTTGGATATATCTCTACGTATAATGTTTACTCTCTTTATTTTCCTACTTACATTAAGCCATACTTTAACACCACTTTTTAAGAAAAATGTTATTCTTTTATTTAGTGATAAAATGACAACTATGGAAAACAACAACCCACTAAAATCAAGTTTAAACTTGGTTTGTAGTGATGATAATTTTATTGCGGTTGTTTCTCAAAGTTATAAAACTAGTGATGTGAATGAGTGGGTGGTAGACTCCGTGGCTACCAAGCATATTTGTAAAAAAAATGCTTTTATCTCCTATACTACTATAAGAGATGGTGAAGAGCTCGTGTACCTAGCGGACTCTAAAACCGTTAAGGTGCATGGAAAAGGGAAAGTTCTTTGAAGCTCACATCGGGGAAAATTTTATCACTAAATGATGTGCTTCATGTGCCCTAGATTAGTACTAATTTGGTTTCCGTCTTTCTCTTGGAAAAAGTTGGGGTTAAAATTTCTTTTGGTTGTGATAATTTTGTTATGACAAAAAATGACGTTCTTGTGGGGAATGGCTATTGTAAGAATGGACTTTATGTGCTTAGTATTTCTGAAATATTGCCTGATAATGCTTCTGTTTATTTAATTGATTCTTACAATGTGTGGCATGCTAGACTAGGACATGCAAGTAATTCTTATATTAAAATGTTAAATGATTGTGGTTTGATTTCTAGCAAAAATAAAATGACACTAGAAAAATGTGATGTTTGTGTTCAATCTAAACTAACTAAAAAACCTTGTCCCTCCACGTATAGGGAATCAGAATTGCTTAGTTTAATTCACACGGATTTAGGTGATTTAAAAAATACCATGACTAGAGGTGGTAAAAAATATTATGTCACCTTTATAAATTTTTGGTGTATAAATCCGAGGTAGAAAATCAATTAAATAAAAAGATTAAGAGAGTTAGATCGGATAGAGGGGGCGAATATATTTTATTTAATGAATTTTGTGAAAAAGAGGGGATAATTCATGAGATCACCTGCATCATGTAATGAGTATGATCAATTACAAGGAAATGAAACCTTTAATGATGATTCCTCTAGTGATTGTGATCCATTAAAAGAAAATGATACTTTTAATGATGAATCTTCTCTTTTGAGAAGAAGTAAGAGGCCAAGGATAGAAAAATCTTTTGGGAATGATTTGTATATATATCTTGTTAATGATGAGCCTTTAACTTATTCACAGGCTATTTCTTCAAAAGAAGCTCCATTTTGGCTTGAGGCCATACAAAATGAAATTGAGTCAATCAAACAAAATAAAACTTGGGTTTTAACCGATTTACCAAAAAGTTGTAAACCAATCGGATGCAAATGGATTTTTAAAAGGAAATTAAATCCGGATGGTTCAATTGATAAATATAAAGTGAGGCTTGTGGCGAATGGTTTTTCTCAAAAACAAGATGTTGATTATTTTGATACATTTGCACCGGTAACACGTATTTCTTCCATTCGAACTTTAATTGCCTTGTCTTATATTCACAAACTTTTGTCCATCAAATGGATGTTAAAACTGCGTTTTTAAATGATGAGCTAGAGGAAGAAATTTATATGGTGCAACCGGAGGGTCATGTAGTTATTGGTTAGGAACACAAAGTGTGTAAGTTGGTCAAATCTTTATATGGTTTGAAACAAGCTCCAAAACAATGGAATGAAAAATTTGATGAAGTGTTATTTGCTCATGGTTTTACCTCACTAGAAGTAGATAAGTGTGTATACACTTAAATGTGAAAATGGTGTGTGCATTATTATTTGCTTATATGTGGATGATATGTTAATTTTTAGTAGCAACCTTGAGCTAATAAATGAGACAAAATCATTTCTTGCTTCAAAATTTGTTATGAAAGACTTGGGGGAAGCAAAAGTGATTTTGGGTATGAAAGTCATAAGGAAGGATGATGATATTATACTATCTCAAGAGCATTATGCTCAAAAACTTCTAAAGAGGTTTGGACATTTCGATGTCACCCCTGTGAGCACCCCTTATGACCATCATATACACTTGAAAAAACATAGAGGTGATCACGAGGCTCAATATGAGTATTCCCAAATTATTGGAAGTCTATTACACTTGATGAATTATACGAGGTCCGACATAGCTTATGTTGTCGGAAGATTGAGTCGATATACTCATAATCCAAGTGGGGATCATTGGACTGCGTTGAGGCGGTTACTCAGATATTTGAGAGATACCATTAATTATGGTATATTTTATAGTGGGTCACCCGCTGTACTAGAGGGATACAACGATGCTAATTGGGTCTCTGACTCAGATGAGATAAAATCCAATACTGGATATATATTCACCTTTGGAGGTGGTGTCATTACGTGGAAATCAACCAAACAAACTATAATTTCTAGATTCACTATGGAGTCCGAGCTTATTGCTTTGGAAGTGGCTACTAGTGAAGCGGAGTGGTTGAAAAATTTCTTAGCAGAAATTCCGGTTGGTGCAAAACCAACATCATCTCTGTCTATTCATTGTGATTGCAGAAGTGAAATAGATACTGCTAAGAAATTGTGTTATAATGGGAAGAATAGACACATTCGTTTAAGACATAAAGTCATTAAACGATTATTGAAGAATGGAATTGTGTCCATCAATTTTGTGAGGTCACAAGGAAATTTAGCGGATCCTTTGACAAAAGCCCTAGGACAAAAATTGATAACCAAAACATCTAAGGAAATGGGACTTGTGTCACTTTGAAACATATGGGGATGGGATACCAACTTGTGTGATTGGAGATCCCATGAAACAAGTTCAAATGGGTAATAACAAGTCTTCCATTTAGTTCGGCTAGCCTAACTAAAACTGCCCATTTCCATGATGTGAGACATAGGCCTTAATTTTAGGGTGGTGTGCAAAAGCAGTACACACTTGATGATATCACCTATATGAGTGTGAGGTAGGGCCGCCTCCATGAACCATGACAAAACTTCTAGAGCACTCATGAAAACCAAGCACGTGCATGGCCTTACGGCGCACAATGGCGTAATAACGAGAAATTGTGCATGGTGAGTCACGACCATTAAGACCCTGATTTACCAATAGTAGCTTGTTGGTTTCAAGAAACTATACGTTTCACCAAAAGCTCGGTTCATTAAGACTTAATCGTCTCGGTTTGGTTTCAAGTCTACGGACACCAAACTTAAAGTCACATTCCTTTAATCCAACGGCTATTTTTCTAAACTAATTTCAAAACTATAAATTTATTCATTTGAAATATGTTGGGGGATTGTTGGAATATTGAGAGTATTTCAAATGAAAAATACTTTATTGATCAATTTTATAAATTAGATATTTTTATATTCTAAATGAATGTTGATGGAGTATGTGGGCCTGGACCCCAGGACCCACATACTCAGAAGAATAAGAGGCACAACTCTCACCCAGTGGGGGCCTCCGTCGGCCAGATGGCCCCTCATCGGCCAGAAAGACATCAACTCAGAACATGGTCTAGAAGACAGGAGAACCGAGTGCCCCCGTCGGCCGGGGCTCCGTCGACCATGGCCGCGTCAGCCACAAAGGGTTCCCAAAACCGAACTTTGTACTTAATCATTCCTACATATCTTGTATTCAGCCCAATAGTGGCCAAATTGTAAATGGGCCTCCCAAACCCAAGACTTGGGAGCCCAACCCTAATTTCCTCTATAAATACTCCCCTTGGGAGTAGTTGTAGGGGGCTCACAAATCATTAATACAAAGCATTTACTGCACTTCTCTCTCTAGCTATCCATTTTCTCTAGATATATAGTCTATCATTTGGTGCTCTCGTTGAGAGCTAGAACAATCAAGTTAGCCTCCTTCGTCACTACGAACTCGAAGCATAGATAACTGATAATGGGAAGAACTAAGTCCAACTGCAACCTCCTCGTCAAGGCCATCCCTGAGGCCCAAGAGAACCGGGAACACGAGGAGGACGCTACGGCCGACAAGGCTCTCGTCGAGGATGTCTTCCAGGAAGCCATCGGCCTCACCACTGACCTGCGCAACAAGCTCAACGGCGGCACCCCAGATGCCCGCATCAGCTTGGACAAGAAGCGCGCAGAAAAGGGCGACAACGCCTCTGGGCATCCGGCTTCTCCTGCCGTCGACCCTCAGCTCCAGGCCGCACTCTCGGCCATCATTGCCAGCCTGGCCTAGAACCCTACCGTCCTTAGTGCACTCATGCCAAGGACGGGGGAGAACACTACACCGCCTCCTCAGCCCCAGCCGTTGGCCATCAAACTAGGCAACGACGAAGGGGTGGTGGCCCAAGACACTTCGTCATCCCACTCCCACCCTGCTTCCCCACTTCGAGCTTGACCGGCCCCTGCACGTGGAAAAGCCTCAGCCTTTAATAGGCTAGGTGACACGCGCCGTCGGCCTGCTTCGGAGAGGATGGAGGGACGGATTGGTGAACGTGAGCCTGGCTCACCAAGGGAAAGCTTGGGGTCCGTATCCCGGACAACGGATTGGCCTTGCCTGGACAAAGGCAAGGGTAAGCTGCACGAGGGTGACGCACGCCACCAAATCAACACGGCTCACGCAGCCCGCTTGCAGACGCAGGGCGCCAGGGACGAGGTAATCGCCAAACTCGAGCGAAGGCTCGCTCAGATGGAGGCCAAACAGCTGGCCGCCACCCCTGCGGGCAACTCATCCAGGGATCCCGGCTTCAACGCCCTTCTAAATAAGGTCACCATCCTTGAGAGGGAGTTGGCCGAAAGACGAGGAGACCCCATCATCCAAGTCAGGACGAGGACTCCTTTCACTGTCAGGGTACTGTCGGCCCCCATCCCCGAGAAGTACTGGGGAAACGCCATCAAGCCCTATGACGGCCGCTCCGACTCCCAGGAGCACTTCAGCCACTACCAGAACAATATGCTGATGGTGAACGCGTCAGATGAATACCTCTGCCGTTGGTTCCTTTCCACTCTTGAGGGGCCAGCATACGAGTGGTTCAACGCGCTCCCCGAAGGGAGCATAGACTCATGGCAAGACCTTGCCCAGCGCTTCCTCACTCACTTTGCCGGAAGGAAGCACGCGAAGAAATATTTCACCCATCTTCTCTCCGTCAAACAGCAGCATGACGAGTCACTCCGGTCATTCATCGACCGATGGACGAGGAAGATCGATGAGGTCGAGGGGGCCGATGAGCGCACCCTCCTTGTCCTTTTTCAGGGCGCCCTCCGCAGCACCCCATATGCGAGGAGCCTCATCACTGACCCGCTGAGGTCCTATTTAAAGGCGCTTCAGTGAGGAAACTTGTACGCTGATGCTGACGAGCTCCATAGCCACAAGAAGGACGTGGGGCACCCCTCCAAGAAGATGAACGTCGCGCCAGCTCCAGGCGCACCCTCGGCCGGGGACCGAGGTCAGGGAGGACAAGGCCGCCATGGATCTGGCGGAAAGAACATGGACCGCATATGGCGGCCGAGGATGGAAAGGCCGAACACCCCACTCACTCATTCGGTCAGTGCCATCCTCGATTACGCCGAGTAACACGATCTCATTGAACGAGATCCTCGGTCGGCCAAGGAGATCTACGTCGTCCATCAGGGCGGCACCTACTGCTGCTATCACAGGAACACCTCCCACAACACAAACGACTACGTCACGCTGAAACAAGCCATCGAGAAGCTGATTCGCCAGGGGGAACTCTCCCAGTTTGTTAAAGGTGGCCCACGCAAGAATACGTGGGTAAACACCGGCAAGCCTGGGGGCGAACCCTCTACGAAGAAGCGAGAGATCGGAAGGCTCAGCAATGATGAGGAAGACTTTGAAGAACCCCACCCGAAGAGGAACCACATCAGCCTCATCGTGGGGGGTAATACGGGGGGACTCAGCCACCCAGAGGAAGAAATGGGCTCAATCCCTTTACTTTGGGGAGGTGTCCCAGGCTCCCCCCAGCCGAAGAAGCAGAGGACGGAGGCGATCACCTTCACCGACAAGGATCTGCCTCCGGGGCCCGCATCTCACAGGGACGCCCTCGTCATCCGGTGTGAGATAGGTGACTCTATCATCCACCGCACCTACATCGACACCGGGAGCTCCGTCAACGTCATGTACCTTGACACCTTCAAGCAGCTAAAGCTGGACAAAGCGCTGCTCAAACCGATACGGACACCGTTGTCCAGCTTCACAGGGCACTCTATCGATGCTGAAGGCACGATAGTCCTCCCCGTGGAGGTCGGCGATGGCTCCCATCGCACCAAGCTTGACATGAAGTTCATGGTGGTCAACCTCGAGTGCACCCACAACTTGATATGGGGGCGGCCAGCACTAGAGGATTTGGAGGCCATCATCTCCATGAAACATCTGTGCCTGAAGTTCCCTACCAGCGCGGTATCGGCTACGCCCGGGGGAACCAGAAGATAGCTCGGGCATGCTACTTGAAGCTGACAAAGCCGGCAGCTAGTACCGGGCAGAGAATAGACACCACCATCGCCACCATCACGAAAGATGAAGAGAGGCCACATTCTGAGCCAGCCGAAGAGGTCGAGGAAGTCCCCCTGGATACCTCTCGGCCGGAGCTGGTCCTAACAATCAGGAAACAGCTCCCACAGGATCAACGCAACAGCATCCTCGTTGTCTTGCGGTCATATGCAATCATTTTTGCGTGGGGGCGGACGATATGCCTGGCATCAGTCGAAAGGTGATCACTCACCGGCTGTCAGTCGACCCTGCCTCCACGCCGATCAAGCATAAGCGGCGTTACCTCTTGGCCGATAGACGGAACTTTGTCAAGGGAGAGGTTACCATGCTCCTCTCAATCAACCACAACAAAGAGGTGAAGTACCCAACCTGGTTGGCCAACGTCGTCCTTGCCCAGAACCCGCCGACGTTCAGAATGTGCGTTAATTACACTGACCTGAACAAGGCGTGCCCTATGGACCCGTTCCCTCTCCCCAACATTGATCAATTGGGGGACGAGACGGTCGGGTACCACCAGATATTCATGCATGAAGATGACGCCGAGAAGACGACCTTCATGACCCCGGAGGGAATTTTCTGCTACCTCGTCATGGCCTTTGGGCTCAAAAACTCAGGCGCCACATATACCAGGATGGTAGCCAAGGTTTTCAGGGCAGTCCTCGGCCGGACGATGGAGGCATACGTCGAAGACGTGATCGTCAAGAGCAAGCAATCTACCAGCCACGCTGACGACCTCCGGGAGATCTTTGAAATCATGAAGAAATTCCAGCTCCGCTTGAACCCAAAGAAGTGCACCTTCGGCGTCTAAGGGGGCAAGTTCCTCGGCTACATGGTCAGTCGAAGGGGCATTGAAATCAATCCGGAGAAGATACAGGACATTGTCAACATGGAGCCACCACGAAATGTGAAGGAGGTACAACGACTGTCGAGACACCTTGTGGCCCTGAACCGTTTTCTCTCGAAATCGGCTGAAAGGTCTCTCCCATTCTTTCAGATCATGCGCAAGGCAAATGGCTTCAAATGGACGACAGAGTGCCAACAAGCATTTGAGGAACTGAAGCGCTACCTATCGTCCCCTCCTGTGCTTTCCAAATCCAAAGCCGGTGAAACACTCTTCTTATACTTAGGGGTGAGCACGTCGGCCATCAGCTCCGTGCTCATCCGCGAGGAGGGAGGGGTACAGAAGGCAATTTTCTACTTAAGCAAGACATTACGGGAGCCCAAGCTCAGGTACTCCCCCATTGAGAAGATGGTACTGGCCATCGTCCATATAGTGAAGATGCTAGGGCACTACTTCCAGGCCCATGTCATCCACGTGTTAACTCAGCAACCCCTCGGCGCACTCATGCGGAGCCCCACCAGTTCTTCACGAATGGTGAAATGGGCGATCTTCCTCAGCCAATTCCAGATCGAAATTAAGCCAAGGCCATCCATCAAGAGGCAGGCCTTGGCCGATTTCGTCACCGAGTGCACAGCCAGGGAGACGGCCGCTACCACACCCTGGCAAGAGCCAGACGAAGCATGGACTCTCTTCACTGACAGTTCATTGGCCGCCAAAGCATGCAGGGGCGACGTCGTCCTCATTTCCCCTGAAGGATTCAGAGTCTATTATGCCATCCGCTTCAACTTCAAGGTATCCAACAACGAAGACGAGTATGAGGCCCTCCTCAGCGGCCTCAGACTCGCCGCCGGCCTCAAAGTGCGACACATCAAAATAAAGTGCGACTCCAAGCTAGTCGTGGGCCAGGTCGAGGGCTCATACGAGGCCAAGGAAGGGACGCTGAGACAGTTCAAGCAGGTGGCCGAGGAGCTGCTCAAGGCATTTGAAACCCATGAGATCACTCAGATCCCAAGGGCGGAGAATGCTGAAGCCGACATCCTCTCCAAGCTCAGCACTGATGATACGCTTGTAATTTCCATTTGTATGTTTGTGTTTTTAATTAGTTTTGATTGATTTTTACTTTGGAAATTACACATTTTTGGTGTAATAGTTTAGTTTGTTAAATTCTTGTAAATTGTTTAGATTAGGTTTATTCTGAGCTCAAACAGGTCTTGATCAACTCAAAGGACAGTTGGTGAAACCCAAAAGTGGAAGGAAGGTGCAAAAAATCAAAAGAAAGAAGATCCTGATTTTGTGGTCTATACCCGGTCGAGTATGACCTATACTCGATCGGGTATCTTGTTGAAATCTCAAATCGGATCAGATCCGAAAACAAAGGATCATGCAGAGAAGATTCGGACCACGATCGAATGTCCATACCCGATCGGGTACACCGACACACCCGATCGGGTATCTCTTCAAATACAAACCCGAACTCGGTCGAGTATGCCCCGGATCTGAAGTTATAAGCATACTCGACCGGGTACAAAGGTATACTCGATCGGGTATGCTTATGAAATTTCCCCTTTGATCGATCGAGTATACCTCGAATTTGAGGTATTACACATACCCGATCGGGTAACTTGTATATACCCGATCGGGTACCCGAGTTGCATCTCAAAAATCTATAAATACACCCCCTTTCCTTCACAATTAGATATCCAATTCCTTTATACATCTTAGCTCAGTCTAGAATAGTTCTTTCTTTATATTTTCTTCATGTTTAGTCTCCAAATGAGGAGCTAAACTCTTCCATCTTGGTTTTGCTATTTTGAAGCTTAATGATTTGTAAGTTGTGAGTTATTTTCTTTAATCTTCTTCCTTGAATTTTAATTCTTTCCTATTCATATTCCATATTAATATTTTGAGCATTACTTAAAGTATCAACTAGTTTTGTTTCTTATATTAATTATTACTAGAATCAATCGGTTAATACGCTTGTTATTAATCCGGTTCTTTCAACAGTAGTAAACTTGGATTATTAATGCATGCATCTCATGGTTAATATGCCAAGGGAAATCAACTATATTGATTAAACCAATAAACCACTTGTGTTGGGGTTATCAATCTCAATCGTTTTCATCTTAAGTTTATTGCTACTATCAAGTTAATATACGGCGCTTGTTCTATATTGACTCGATAGTAAGTTTTATTAATGAACGCATCTCGTTATTAATAACTACCCTCGATGAACTAGATATACTCCTCGATTGAGTATTCGAGAGGAAGATAGTTAAAGATATAATCGGGATCGACGAACATTTCATTAAGTGGATAAAAGCAAAACCAAGTCCTCATCTCTATTAATTAAACCACATAAGTTGTTCATCTTAGTGTTAATTAAATTAAATTAAATCAAACTCAACCCCCCCTGTTACTCATTATATAAAAGAAAAGTATTCTTTTCCCTGTGGACAAAGATGATCGGGGAAGCAAAATTTAGCTCCTCCCAACTGTATATTAGTCATGTCCAACATCCCGTCCTCCGATTATTCTTGAAATTTCTTGCCAATTGCTTGCTTGGACGTCCCAACAACCATCACACTAGGATGTGGGATGTATGCTTGATGTCTGTAGCCCTATTCCGTGTTCATGTGGACTTTAATATGTGCAATCTTATGTGGGCACATCTGAAAAAGGAAAGTGCAGCCAAGGGGACTATTGTTGTGGGTGGGGTGATTATGCACTTAGCCACCAAGTTCGGGTATACGGATAACTCTCCTATACCCGACTATTGTTTGATGAACATCTCTTGGTTAGGCCATTCGGGATGCACAGCCTTTTCCCATACAGTTTATGGTGGTGAACGACCAAAAAACATATATAACTGGCTCATACACCCCAAGCCTCTCAAATACTTCTTCCTACCTAACCAAGAACTTCCCAAACTGCGCTACAAAGAAGCGGTAGAGGTGCCCCATTACCTATTCCCACACGCCCTTCCACCGCATCTCCAAGAACCGGAACAAGAACCTCACCAATACCAACCCGAGTACGAGCCTTATGCTGAACCCCATGGCCATGGACGCTGACATTCCCGAGCAAACTCAAAACCCTCCACCACCCAACTTCTTCCAACAACTTTTGGAGGGTCAACAACAACTGCTTGCGAGGTACAATCAAATGAACACAAACTACATGGCCATGGGAGAACGGCTCGACCAAATGCAGGAGGAGCAAATGGTGGGTTTTCAACTGTTGGAGGAGCTCCGGGAAGCCGACAGGAATCGGTATGAAGAAGATCAATGTAGGTTCTACGGACCTATGTACTCTTACATGGCCCAGCAGGGATCTTTTCAGACCATGGCAAACCCCCCTCCACCACCCTCGTGGTATGACCCCACTCATTGGGGTAACTTTGGAGGATCTAGCTCCGGGGGTGGAGGGTAGGATGGCGGAGATGGCGGGGACACATACATGGGAGATGACAGGCAGGGGAGAGGCTTCGAGGCAGCTACTACGGCAGGCACTAGGGACAGTGCTTGGCCTAAGTGTGGGGGGAGACTCTTATGGTATGTATTTTCATTTATTCCCTTTCACTACGCATGAATTTCTTTTACCATTGGAATTCAAAAAAAACAAACAAAAAAAGAATAAATAAAAGAAAAGAAATGCTAGTTAGGTTGAAAACCCAACAAAATGGGCAATCTAAGCAAAAAAGGCTTATAAAAAATGAGTGAGTTGGGGAGAATGGAAAATAAAAAGAGATGCTAGGATCAAAACCTGAAAAGGCTCCTAGGCAAAATGAGAGATATGAGAGAAATATTTGTTCTTGCAGGCACTCATTTCATCTCCTTGGAGGAAAAGAAGAGTCAAGAAGAAGAGGAAGAAGAAGAGAGGATGAGAAGAGAAGATGAGCACTAGAAGGCCATAAAACCCAAGATATTATTTGTAAATTGAACTTAAAACTCATATTTTATCCTTGGTGGTCTTTGTGCTTTTATCTTGTAAAATTGTTGAAACTTTGGAAAACTTAAACACTTGTGAACATTTGACTTTACTCGAGGACGAGTAAAGAAACTAAGTGTGCGGGAGTTGATACGCTTGTAATTTCCATTTGTATGTTTGTGTTTTTAATTAGTTTTGATTGATTTTTACTTTGGAAATTACACACTTTTGGTGTAATAGTTTAGTTTGTTAAATTCTTGTAAATTGTTTAGATTAGGTTTATTCTGAGCTCAAACAGGTCTTGATCAACTCAAAGGAAAGTTGGTGAAACCCAAAAGTGGAAGGAAGGTGCAAAAAATCAAAAGAAAGAAGATCCTGATTTTTTGGTCTATACCCGGTCGAGTATGACCTATACTCGATCGAGTATCTTGTTGAAATCTCAAATCGGATCAGATCCGAAGACAAAGGATCATGCAGAGAAGATTCGGACCACGATCGAATGTCCATACCCGATCGGGTACACCGACACACTCGATCGGGTATCTCTTCAAATACAAACCCGAACTCGGTCGAGTATGCCCCGGATATGAAGTTATAAGCATACTCGACCGGGTACAAAGGTATACTCGATCGGGTATGCTTATGAAAATTCCCCTTTGATCGATCGAGTATACCTCGAATTTGAGGTATTACACATACCCGATCGGGTACCTTGTATATACCCGATCGGGTACCCGAGCTGCATCTCAAAAATCTATAAATACACCCCCTTTCCTTCACAATTAGATATCCAATTCCTTTATACATCTAAGCTCAGTCTAGAATAGTTCTTTCTTTATATTTTCTTCATGTTTAGTCTCCAAATGAGGAGCTAAACTCTTCCATCTTGGTTTTGCTATTTTGAAACTTAATGATTTGTAAGTTGTGAGTTATTTTCTTTAATCTTCTTCCTTGAATATTAATTCTTTCCTATTCATATTCCATATTAATATTTTGAGCATTACTTAAAGTAACAACTAGTTTTGTTTCTTATATTAATTACTACTAGAATCAATCGGTTAATACGCTTGTTATTAATCCGGTTCTTTCAACAGTAGTAAACTTGGATTATTAATGCATGCATCTCATGGTTAATATGCCAAGGGGAATTAATTATATTGATTAAACCAATAAACCACTTGTGTTTAGGTTATCAATCTCAATAGTTTTCATCTTAAGTTTATTGCTACTATCAAGTTAATATACGGCGCTTGATCTATATTGACTCGATAGTAAGTTTTATTAATGAACGCATCTCGTTATTAATAACTACCCTCGATGAACTGGATATACTCCTTGATTGAGCATTCGAGAGGAAGATAGTTAAAGATATAACCGGGATCGACGAACAGTTCATTAAGTGGATAAAAGTAAAACCAAGTCCTCATCTCTATTAATTAAACCACACAAGTCGTTCATCTTAGTGTTAATTAAATTAAATTAAATCAAACTCAACCCCCCCCCCCCCCCTTTGTTACTCATTATATAAAAGAAAAGTATTCTTTTCCCTGTGGATACGAACCTTACTTCGTTATACTACGTATAATCATTGTATTGTATTTATTTTGAGTGCATCTCACGACAAGTGCACGTCAACTGACACTCCAGAGCAGATCTCCAAGATAGCCAAGGTCGAAGAGCTGAGCATGTCCAGCATCCACGCCAGCCCGATCATGTGCATCCAACATCGACCGGAGGACTGGATCACTGACATCATGACCTTCATCACCTCGGGAGAATTGCCACAGGATGAGGAGAGAGCCAAGCTAGCCAAACTCAGGGCCCCAAGCTACACCATCGAGGATGGGAAACTTTACAAGAGATCTTACAACGACACTCTCCTCCGTTGCCTACACCCAGACGAGGCCGAAGTGGCCATGGAGGAGGTCCACTGCGGCGTCTACTCCTCTCATCAGGGCCCCTTCAGCATGTCCCGGCGTCTCGTCGTCCAGGGATATTTCTGGCCGACGATGGTGCGGGACTGTGCCAATCTTGCAAGGAAGTGTACTACATGCCAGGTCCTCCAGAAGGCCCCTGGTCGGCCAGACATCAACTACGCCCCGGTCAGCACCGCGATCCCATTCTCAAGATGGGGTATTGACCTGGTCGGCCCCCTTCCCAGAGCCGCTGGCAACAACCGCTACATCATCGTTGTCGTGGACTACTTCACCAAGTGGGTCGAGGCGGAACCTTTTGCCAGCATCACAGGGGCCAGGTGTCAGAAATTCGTCCACAAGAATATCCTTACCCGCTTCGACGTTCCTCATGAGATCATATCCGATAACGGCACCCAGTTCGAGGTCGCGTCATTCCAAGAACTCCTCCAGGAGTGGGGAATCAAACATCGTTTCTCCTCCATTGCCTATCCTCAAGGTAACAGACAAGTCGAGAACGCCAACTGAACCATCCTGGAGGGTCTGAAGAAGATGCTCCAGGACGTAGGAGGCAGTTGGGCCGATGAGCTGCCCAATATACTGTGGTGCTACCGTACTACGCCGAGGAGGGCAACGGGCGAAACACCCTTTGCCCTTTGTTACGGCTTCGAGGCAAAGGCACCAATAGAGGTCACTATACCCAGCCGATGGGTGGAGCAGTACGAACCTGAGATCAACGAAGAAAACATGAAGATTGACCTCCACCTGATCGAAAAACGACGAGAGTGTTGGTCCCGGTTATACTGGGTACAGTCTAGAGGGGGGTGAATAGACTATACTGGTTTTTAAATTTTCAAGCTAAGTACCAGATTTAACAGAATAGCTTGTTATGTTGACAGAACAGACTAGCGGCGGATGGGGTTCTGGTAGGGGTTCTGTTCGATTAGCCTCAGAGAAGCAAAGGCAATAGGCCTTCTGTTAACTCACAAGACACGTTCTGCTGAACACAGAGACCAAGTCTTTGGAGTTAATCAGTTCTAACTAAATGCGATAAATAAATGCAGTAAGTAAATGACACCAGGGATTTTTATAGTGGTTCAAGGAACAACTCGTTCCTCTAATCCACTGTTCCACTAAGCTTGTAAAAACGTCCGTTTACAACGCCTTAGTCCTATCACTTAAGAAGCTCTCCACGTCTTCTTCAAATGTAGATGTCTCCTAGGATGCACTTCCTGGCTTCCTTTAAGACTGGTCCTTTCACTGAGCTTCCCGGAAGTATCACAACTTCACTGCTCCAGTTACTTGGCATCCTTCTCGTTAGAGAAGAGTTTCTAGATGAAACAGGGGTTCCTCCAACTTGCTTCGTCACAAAAGATGTATTTGTTGAAGTGCTTGAAGTGTTGAAGAACGAATGGAACTTTGCTTGAGTTGGAGATGAAAAGATGTGAATAGATAATCTTTCCAACGTCTGCCTTCTCTTGTAGAAGATGATGAAGATTTAATCTCAAGGAGGCTTGTACGTTTGAATGTTTGAATGTTTCTGTATTTGCAATGTTGTAGCAAAGTTATCCGGTTGTTCTTCGTAGTGTATCTTTTATACTGAGGTTGTCTTCCCGTTGGAGGAGGAGGACAATGCATTAAATGCGCGAACAGTTGACTTGACCAGTAGGACCCAGCAAGGTTGGCGGGTTACTATTTTGGGATAAAGTTATCCTGAAATAACCTGGAATGTTAGCCAATCATCAGCTTTTACTCTTCAGGGTACGGGGTGCATTAAATGTGCATTTAATGCGCGTACTGTAGCTCTTCCGTTGAAGTCTTCTAGCCGTTGAAGGAATCTTTCGTTGGTTTCACCGGTTGAAGTAGTATCAAGAAAATTCTCGAAGTGTCAGGATTTCTGGTGTCTTCAACAGAGAGCACTTCTGTTGGGATAAGCTATCAAAGGGTCCCGAGGTCTTCTGTCAGATGCGAACTTAACAGAGAGTCTTGACAGTTTCTGGGGTAGTGATGTCCAATAGAGAATCAGGGGGTTTCTGTCTGAGTAAGAACCAACAGAGAGCCAAAGGTCTTATGTCAGGATGAAGCCTATCAGAAGGTCTTCTGTCAAGAGGTCTTCTGTCAGTCGACTATTCTAAGAAACTTTACAGGGAAAATTTCTAATACAATAAATCTAAAGAGGGGGTACTCTAAAGTCCTAATTACTATAGCATCATCACAATCTAATTACAATTATTCCTTACAAAGAGCAAGCCTTCATCCGGGCAGAAAACTACCGGTGTCAGGTGAAATCATACTATAATGCCAAGGTACATTCCCGGGAATTCCAAGTGGGGGACTATGTCCTTCGCCAAAGGGAGGCGAGTAAGCCGACGGAAGGTGGCAAACTAGCACTCAAGTATGAAGGCCCATACATCATTAGCGCCGTAGTCAAGCCCGGCACCTACAAACTAAAACACCCGAACGGGTCTAATGTACCACGAACGTGGAATGTACATCACTTAGTGAAATTCTATCAGTAATCCGGGGACAGCGCAGCCGACAAAGCCCTCACCCTCCCACAGGTTGTTGATCGAATGCCACCCTCAGCCTCGAGCCACTTATCAATAAAAGTTGTATTCTACTTACTTTTCTCAAAAGTTCAAGGAAATGACACTATACTAAACCGACCCCTCAGAGCGAAATGCTCGGGAAAGGTCGACAGAGCACATCGTTTTGGCCCCTTAAAGCGAGACACTCAGGTAAGGCCGACAGTGTCCCCAGGACGAAGGGCCCGCAAAGATCCCACGTCTTGAAATGGGAAGCTCACTGCGTTGTCCACTCGCGAAATCGCAGGGCGACAGGTCTGAAGTCATGGCCGAGGTGACAAAAATCCCCCAACTTAGGGACGAGGAACGGCAGCCATCGATAAACGACCAAAAGCCTTAGCCCGCGTCATAAATAGGCGACGGGACCTCCCTGAGATCACAGGACGATCCAGTAGGACTCCTTACCGGCCGAGGGACTATCGACCCCCTTGGCCGAAGCCCGAAAGAAGGACACCCACTCCTCGCTCAAAGTAAAGAGGAAGAAAATAAAAGAGGAACAACCGAAGGTCCGCGCACTTGCCGGCCTGAAGCTATATCCCCAAAACATAAAAGAGGGACAGTCAAAGGACCGCGCACTTGTCGGCCTGAAGAGATATCCCCAAAACATAAAAGAGGGACAGCCGAAGGACCGCGCACTTGCCGGCCTGAAACGATATCCCCAAAACAAAAAAAAAGAGGCACAGCCGAAGGACCGTGCACTTGCCGGCCTAAAGCAATATCCCCAAAAACAAAAGAGGGAAGCCGATGGACCGTGCACTCACCGGTCACGAGCAATAAAAATAAAATCCCCAAAATTGACTGAGTACATATCAGTTAAACGCAAAATATTAACTTAATACCGCCCATCCAAGCCTAGCCCCAGGTAATCCTTAGACGAAGCGTGCACTTGCAAGCCATCACAAAGGCACTTAGAAAAATCCCAAGTGGCAAAACAACGATCATCACCCTCACCGGCCACAACAAGGTGAAGTGAGTACATGACCACTCAACACTTAGCATATTTCCTAAGTATGGAGGAATGGTACGGACGAAGCGTACACGCACAAGTTTCCCAAGATCAAGCCCTTCCATCATCAGGCAAATATTACGCATTATGGACGAAAGCGTTCATACAAAAAGAAAA